AAGGTAAGACCTTCGTGGAGACCCGCCAGGGAACGGGCCGATGCAACCCGTATCTCCTTATGGCAGCGGTGGTGGCGGCCGGAATCGATGGCATGGAAAAGAAGCTGCCTTTGTCAGAGGCTGGAACTGAGAACAAAAAGATGCCCACGACAATCGCAGAAGCTACGGAAGCCTTTGAGGCAGACGAGGTACTTCTGGCAGCATTTGACGGAGGGAAAGATTACATCCCTCTTCTGAAAACGTCACTGACACTGTAATGTTAGTTGGTGTCAGTCGTGTTTCCAGTCAACGTTGCAGATTTTAATTTGGCCCATCTCAAGTGAAGTAAAATGGAGCGTTTCTCCGGAAATGAAATCAACAGAGGTCTTGTAACAAAAATTGAATTAATTTACGGATTTGAGCCGTTAAATGTAACTAGGATTTATAACTTTTATATGCATCATTCACATTCATGTACCACAAAATTTATAACAACTGCATGGTGAAAAATTTAAGTTATACATTTGGAGCTTCAAAATGATCAGAAACAGCAATCGTCTGTGCCTGCCCTTTATTATTATTGTTATTTCATTCAGAAATCAACCAACTAAGCAACAATTGTACACAAAGAAAACAAGATAGGCCTACGGTTGATTCATTCTGGGATAACCCAAGAAAGTCAATTACACAGGCTTATTTGCATTGGGGTCCCTTAAGTACATGTACGGACAAATTACACATAAACATAACAAACGAAACATAAAAAAATAGTAAATTATCAGTCCATTTACCCATTACAATCATATTCAAGACTCCATATTATTTAAAAATCGAAACAATCAAAAACATGAAAAAAATATACTGAAGTCACTTACCCCTTCCCATCTAAAATCCGTCTTAATAATTAAAAACACTACATTTCTCTACTGATTGGCTTTTTGTGATAGATGTGACTTTACTTGTTTTTTAAATACGCAGGACTGGAGATGCTTTTGATGTTAGACGGCAGTGCATTCCAGTCTTTAATAGCTGTAACAAAAATGTATTTCTACTGGAATGAGTTGGAACAATGAAGTTAAAAAGACTTTTCCTTGTATTATAAGAATATCTGTCAAACACACGGGTAAAGTTGTCAGACATATATTTAGGGGCTAAGTCATGAACCACTTTAAATAAATGACTGAGTTTCAATTGAGTCACCCTATCCTGAACGTTAAGTAACCCCAGTTTATCAAGTTCTCTCTGACCAATATGGGCCATTGAATTTTTGTCCAGTATGAACCTAACCATTTTATTTTACACAATTTGAAGTTTGCTTTTCATTCTTATGGGTAATGCAGAATACCATGATGAACATGAGTAATCAAAGTAACATTGAATCAATGCAGAACACAAAATTTTAACCTAATTTTTCACTGAGAAAATTAGCCGGTCTGTAAAAAAACGTAAGTCTATCCCCAGCTTTCTTAATAATTGAAGTAGCAATGCGTTCACCAGATAAAACAGGGTCTAAAATAACTCTTAAATATTTAATAGATAAGGATGATTTAACCCTTTCTCCATTGTTAAACCCAAAACAGCATCAAGGATTGGGACTTAGGTTCGGCGTTAGTTTACGGTGGCAATATTTGTAACGTTTGTGAGAGTCTTTGCATGTGAGTTGCTCTGTATAACTAGTTCAGATAGTGTAGCGTAGCAATCATAAAAAGGTAAATTTTGTAATCCAGTTTGCATGAATTAACATTTACCCGGCCAAGTTTTTGCTCTTCGTGTTATGCCATTAAATTGACTCGTTCATCAAAAACGGTGATGGTCAGCGGTTATAAATGACATGACTATCGCCAACATTTTAAAAACCATCTATGCAAAATGATATATCAATTATAAAAGAATGACAAATATGCTCATACGTTGCTTGAGAGGATTTCCTAATAGCCTAGTTTATTGCTCCGTGTACGTGTAATAGCTTTAAGTATCTCGGATAACCTGATGGTATTTACTAAGGCATAAACTGGCGTTGCTGTGTTAATAACTACGAATTTTATCAGACTGTATAGCACAAAAAGCACAAATTCTTGTTTGTGAAAACCAGGATTAAATTTGAAAGACGAAACAGATCAAAATGACAAAAGAAAGATTATCCACAATAACTGCGAGCGTACAAGAAGTCCGTTTTTGTGCATTTTCTCTATTCGGAAAGAACTTGATGACAAGTTTATACTTATGATGATGACAGGATTATACTTATACAGACAAGTAACTATCATAGAGATTAAAAGCAGCGCCTAGAAAACTGATCATTAATAACAACGGAAATGACACCGGAAGGATAAAAGGAGGACTGTAATTATTGTGATTGTAAATTTTACATTCCAATTCAGTTCAGCAACTTTAAAGGCCACGGACCTGGAAATGAGCCATACACAGTGAGTGATCCCCTACCCGTTCCTACAATTGCTATCTTAACCCTCCCCCCAACTGCTATATGGACTGTCAGCCAACCTATCATGACTACAGGGCAACCTGAAGTTAGCGTCAAAGATGTATCGCTGTACCTTACAAGGAAACGTGCAAACGTATCTGGTTCAATGAAAATACGTAGCTCTAGACAACGAGGGGCATGGTTGTGCAAACGAGCATTTTGCTTAAGGTTTAGAACTGAGGATGTCGATGTTTTCATGGGTAAGGTCAAATGAAAACAATACACCTAACGTCACACCAGCTTGCAACGCTCTTTTTATGCGTACTTATGATACCGCTGCGTTGATAGGACCGACACTGCACGTACGTAACAACGGATGTCCTCCAGTGACCCTCTATTCCTTGCTGGACAGACTGATAGTAGTTTTAGATAGAGGTAAATCAAAAAGGTAAACGAACATCATTTGCAAACGAAAAGATGACTTAAAATGCCAATTGCCCATTACTTTAAAATTGGTCGATCCAGGTTAACGAGAATTTCACGACTTTGACTGCCAGGAATTAGGGCGTCAGTCACGACAGCCATTCAGCGGACCGCCCGTGTAGTTTCATGAACTGAGACGTAACCATCAACCCAGATCTTCTTTCTGCTTTCTTCCATCATTAATTTCAGTTAGTTTGTCGAGGGCGGACCCACAACCCAGTTTTGGCGAACTGAAAAAAGGCCAAAAAACTGGGAATTTGTTAAGGTCAAAGTGTGAAAGCTCACTCTCAAAAAGAGTGAGATTCCTTTGTAAGATCCACTCGAAAAGAGTGCAACCCACTCCAAAAGAGTGAAAATAACTCTAAAAGAGAGGCAAAAAAGAGGCAATAAAAGACCACTCTTTTTCGAGTTTTTCACGTGGTCGCTTATTTGGCTTCTTAGCAGAGTGGAACTTTCACTCTTTTGGAGCAGTTTTTCTTTTTGGAGTAGTTGTATAAAGGACACACTCTTTCTGAGAGTGGGTGTAACCCATCTGACATTTGTGAAGGGTGGGGGCTCAACGTTATTGTAGGGCTTTTTATACGCTTTGAGCTGACAGGAATATGAAATATTCCCTCTTAATTAATTAAATGCCCCATTTTGGGGTTGGGGCCCAAGGCACGACCCCTGTTACCCCCCCCCCATCTGTCCATGGCGTGCGCCAATCAAGTATACGGATAATTTGGAGGTTCATATACCGAATCTAGTTATTACGGAAATAAAAAGCTGCAAGTTGATCATGACGAATAACGAAAACGAGGACTATATTTTGTGTGTGTGGTTTTTTTTTCTTCAGATTTCTGTTTCAGTTCTCACTTCCCGGATCGTTGCACGTTTTTGCAGTTAACTCTTTCTTTAATACAAAACAGTTACTGCATGGTGAATAAATTCTATACTTCCTTGTTCACACCATTTAGGTAAATCAATACCCATGAAACAAGGAACTGAACTTTGTAGTTGATATCATTTGCTTCCTTGCGGTAAGAACGTAAAAGCAGCGCGCCATAAAATCGCCGCTCGTTGAGACGTGAAAGCTACTTACTACACGTACCAGTGGCAGCTTGATAATTATACGTCATGTAAGTACCCAACATTTTATTTTTGGATTTCAAAATGTGCACATCGAAGTCTCTACTTACTTTGTAACGAACTGTTTTTATTTAAATGATAGAAAAGGCTGTTGTCTGGTGTTGTAACTTGTTACACTTGCTAAATTTCTTTGTGAAGAAACATTGAAACTTCAAAATGAACATTATGAAGCATTAAAAGAAATTCCTTAAAATGACCATACCCCAAACCCCACAATTGTTTTTTTTTTGGGGGGGGTGTCAACAAATATATCACTAGGTGTAGTGCTTTTTCTTAAATAATACAAATTTCGGACTATGCTTACGTGTGAAGTAATGATAATTTCTAACTTTGTGTATTAGTGGAGGTAGTTAAATCAAATTCGTACGATATATATTTGCAAATTTCGGTTGAACCTCCCAACGTGTTTAATCGATTTTAGGCGTTTCCTTGCTGGGTAAGGTCGTAATCAACGAGCTCTGTGGTATACGAGTTAATTAAAGGCACATTACAACTTTAAAATAAGCATTATGAAGCATTTCAAAGATACCTCAAAATGACTACTCCCACAAAACTATATCTTAGGCATTCTGAATGTAGGACACCTGTACGACTACCATTGACCAGGTGTGTGTGTTTTTTTCAATAAGACAGACTGTAACTGGAATCCCGTAACCCCCTCCCTTCCCCAACAGACTTACAAACTGACAACCCATGTCCTCTTGCTAGACATCGAGAACTGTTTGATTTGCTTACAAAACAATAATTTACGAGATGGAATCGAAGCTGTTGGAAGTCAGTGTCGTGCTTTTGCACTCCCTCCCCGGTGCACATGCAGGCCCAAAAGTGCGCGAACACGGAAATTGCCAACGGTAACAGGGCAAAACGAAAGTAATTCAACATTCCCGATGAAGGTCAACATGGGCAGTGGGTGACTGGGTGCGCACGTGCGTATCCTCAGGTCGGGGATTGCAAAAGGAAACGTTTGCAATTTACAAGCAGACCTATTGAAAATGGGACTGTAAGGCTGGGAAATTTTTAACTCTCTCACACTCTGTTATTCTGGAACACACTTTTGATGTAGGACTCTCTGTTTGAGATTTGCATACGTCTTTTGAGTTCCTGAAAATTCGGCAATCGTAGGTATATTCTATTCACTGAAGTCAAATCCCGACTTGTATTTCCTGCAGTTCGCTTCATCAAGCCTTCTCCATCGAGTCCGTTCTTAAAAGAAGATGGCTGATTTCCAAGGTGCGCATTCTGTAGTCGAGCGCCTTAAGAGTGTCGACGCCAACTTGTTTCTTTTCGAAGTGTGCGACTTCTTCGGAAGGGCACATACNTGTCTGTGTTCCCCGCAGCAAGCTGGAGGAAGCTGTCGAGGATGGCTTAGAGCTTCCCGTCCGCGCAGTTTTCAAGGAGTCTTCTAATGACAAGAATGACAACCTCGACAAGATTTGCTCCATTCGGGCCGACCCTACCGCTGATATCCTCCGACATCCTTTCCACCGTAGCATGGCATACGTCCCAGCTGAGCCCTTCGTCGATGGAAGCCCTCTGACGAGCTACCCACGATTCGTTGCCAGGAAGCAGCTAAGTCGTCTTGCTGAGCTTGGCTTCTCTCTCAAGTCTTCTTTCCATTTGGAGTTCTTCTTGAAATCAAAGAAAGCCGGCACTGAATACATCAAACGAGAAACGCTGATCGGCCATTTCTTCGACGTACTGGAGCGCACTGGCAAGGATTTTGAAGTAGAGACCTTTCACGTTGGCACAATGGCCAACCGCATGGATGGAACCTTCAAAGAGGTACTAGGGATCAAGTCAGCCGATTACGCCCAGCACTTCAAGACCTTCATGAGGGAGGCTGCAGATTCATTTCTGCATGAAGCATCAGTTTTGGAGAAGGCAAACCTCTCACTGTATTTCCGCCACTCTCTCTGGGATATCAAGGGCAAGAAATGCCTAATGGGTGATCCAGACAGCCCCCTGGGACTGTCTGTGGCTGCACAGCATTGGATGGCTGGAATCCTGGAGCACATGCCGGCCATCGTCCGATTCACCCATCCAACTCAATCTTCCTGGGATCAAGTGGAGCACGAGCAACTCAATTGTCGATGGGGGACAGATAGCGCTGGGTCCTCGGTGCGTCTCCACAGAGGCGAGGAGGGTAAGACCTTCGTGGAGACCCGCCAGGGAACGGGCCGATGCAACCCGTATCTCCTTATGGCAGCGGTGGTGGCGGCTGGGATCGATGGCATGGAAAAGAAGCTGCCTTTGTCAGAGGCTGGAACTGAGAACAAAAAGAGGCCCACGACAATCGCAGAGGCTACGGAAGCCTTTGAGGCAGACGAGGTACTTCTGGCAGCATTTGACGGAGGGAAAGAATTTCTCCCTCTTCTTAAAACGTCACTAACATTTCTGTAACGTTAGATTTGGATTTGACCCATTAACAGTGAAGTAAAAAGAGCCTTTCACTGGAAATGAAATCACCACAATTCTTGTAACGAAAGTTGATTATTAATCAATATTTACGCATTTGAATCGTTGAATTTAACTGGAAATTGTACTACATGTATTTATACAGCTACACAGTCAAAATTAATGTCATCTGTTTTGAAGTTCAAAATGATCCAAAACTATTAATTATCAAGCCTTTTAACCCCAAACAACATTCGGGATCCGGACTTTGGTGATATTTGTAATGTTTGTGAAATTTGCATGTGAGTTGCACCTTATAACTGGCTCAGATAGTATCGCGTATAACACTCATAAAAAGGTACCGTAAAAGTTTTTGTTATCCAGATTGCACGAATCAATATTAATGGACCCATTTTTGCTCTTTGCGTTGTGCTAAGTGTTAAATTGGCACGTTCATCATGAACAGTGATGGTCAGCTAGCGACTTACAAATGTCATGAATGTCACCCACAAGTATTGTAAACCCACCCATATGCATGTTATGTAAAACAATATAGCCTATGTTAAAAGGTGTATATTAATTTAAATGCCAAAAATGCTGATATAAAAATATGATGATTTCCCAATAGCATATTTTGCCTGGTACGCGTAGTATAATCTGATTTGTACTTTTTATCTGTTTGAAAAGAACGTGGTGACGATTTTCTCGTTGTTGTTTTTAGTTTGGTTTTGGTTTGTTAAAATTAATGTCCATGTTCTAACTTCTATTGCCAAGGGAATATAACAAGACTGATTAGATACAGCTAAAAGTGATTTTGAAATTTAGAGCAGATTTATGATTACAAGAAGATTATAAACAGTTATTGTTAGAGATTATAAAGACCTTACAAGTTGATCATAAACGACGCCGAAAATGGCATCGGAGTGATAAAAGGCGGACTGTTATGTTTTTATTGCAAATTTTGTGTTTCAGTTGATTTCTCTTGCCACTTTAAAGGCCATCGGACCTGAAATGAGCCACCACTTACAGTGATTGATCCCCTACCCGTTTATACATTATTGGCTATCTTAATCGAACAGTGTGCCATATTTCCTTTCTCGTGAATCCCCGGTCACCCACTATATAATTACAGTGTTCTGGACAAACACAAATTTCATGATGAATAAGTTTGAAACTTCCACTTCTGCGTTAAGTAAGTCGATAGCCCTAAAACACGGAGCTAAACTTGTATACTTGTAAAGTTATTTCCATCTGTGGTGGTGCAAACTTACAAGCGGCGCCTCATAAATTGGCGGTCATTGCGAAGCAAGCGCTTCGATGGGGTAGCTCGGGGTCGTCGTCTGTCAGAGGAAAATCAAATTGAAAAGTGGACATCATGAGCAACTTATTAAGAGATAACTTAAAATGATGACTCGCCCAATACCCCCGAAACTGCTATATGGACTAATCTAGGTCAGCCATCCTATCACGACCAGGGCAACCTGAATTTAGAGTCAAAGATGGGATCACTGTGCCTGTACAAGGAAACATGCGAACAAAATACTGCGGGTGATAAGTCAGCATGGTTCAATAAAAATCCGTAACTCTGGACAGTGAAGGGCATGGTTGTGCATAAGTACATTTTGCTCAGGGTTTAGGAAAGAGGATGTCGATGGTGTAAAGGATAAGGTCATATGAAAATAAAGCACCTAACGTCACACCCGCTTGTAACACTCTTATGTGTGTGTGGTACAGCTTTCAGGGCTCCAGTTTCAATTTAATTATGTTTATGAAACTACACGGGTGGCCCGCTGAATGACTGTCGTGAATACAACCCGACTTTTCAGGCTACCTAATTCGTGATATTTTCTTTGACCTGGATCAACCAATGGGGAATTTGACATTTCAACTCATCTTTTCATATACGCACGATACTCCTTTTACTTTTTTCAGACTGATCCACTATTGTTCTGTCCGGCAAGGAAAAGGCCGTAGGTCACTGGGGGACATCAATATTTACGCACACGCAATGTCGGTCCTTTCAGTGCAGCGGTATCATACGCCGACTCACGCACATAAGGGTGTATTTGCCTGCAACTGGGGACCCCCTATTGTTCCTCTTTTGTTTGTACTACACTAACATTTTTAGAAGACCACCCATATGTTTTGTACACAGTTGTCAATCGGGTACCCTCTGTCAATCGGGGACCTTATTGTCCTCTATTGTTCAGGGTCCCCAATTGAATGCAGAAACAAACTCACACACACACACCCAATCTAAGAACCCACATCTTCATGCTTTCATATAATTTTTGAATCCTAAACCTCCAGTTACTTTTTAATGGATATACGAAGCAACGCTGTCCTTTAACAATGCTTAATTCGAAAAAGAGAGATGCACTCTTTGGCAAAAAAATGAACTGTGTGCATTCCTTTGGCAACAGACCAACATAACAAAAGAGGCTGCAAAAGAGAACTAATGTGTTCCGTAAGATATCCGTACCCTGAGAAATATAATTCCCTTGCACATGGCGAGGGCAGATCCTCCATTCAGTTTCGGCTGATCCATTTTTTTTTTTCGGGTGGAGTCCGAAAAGATTGAAGATTTTCTTCATAGCCTTTAATTACATTTCTGAGGGGTTAGGCTAGAATTGGGGGCTTTTTACACGCGTTCAGCAGGAATGGAAGGGAAATAAATCTTTCCTCCTTTATATTTTGAAAATATTGCCCCTTGGGGTGGGCCCGGAGCATGGCCCCGTTCCCTGGGATCCGCTAATGGCGTACACCAATCAAGTTGGCCCCTATATACGGATCATTCGTAGAGCTACATAAATTGTACAGTTTTATGGAGATTAAAGACTGCAAGTTTATCATGACTGATAATGAAATAAGGACTATTACTTTATTTGCAAAGTTTCTGTTTCAGTTCAGTTCTCAGTCACTGACGGGGCCTGGAAATGCGCCACATCCCCCCCCCCGCTTGCTCAGCTGATATCTGCAGGGATTCCTACTTCTCGGATCCTCGACAAGCATATTCAGTTAACTCATTCTATAGACAAAACAGTATAAATGTGCAAGTTCTATACTTCCTTGTCCACGCCATACAGGGAAACTGATACCCAAGAAACACGGAAGTGAACTTGTAGTTGATTCCATTTGCTTCCGTCGCGGTGTGAACATAAAAGTAGCACCCCATCAAATCACCGCTCACTAAGATGTGAAAGCTACTTACAACTTGTGGCAGCTTGGTACTAATCATGTAAGTACCTAACATTAATATTTTCGATGTTTTGATGTGCACTTCGCAGTCCATAGTAACTTTGTAACGAACCTTTTACGACAGAAGGATGGAAACGGTTGTTTTGTGTTATCAATACAAGGGCAACTGTCAAATTTCTGTATAATGTGCGCTGCGCAAAATTTAGGCCATGCTCATGTGTGAAGTAGTGATAATTTTGCTCAATTCTACTTCTGCGAGTTGAAGGGAATTTGTATCTGTGTGTATTTATGGAGGTAGTTAAATTAAACTGTTATATATTTGCAAATGTACGTATTTGGTTGAACTTCCCAAAGTTTTAAATCGATTTTAGGCTTTTCCTTGCTGGGTAAGGTTGCAAGAACGAGCTCTGTGGTAAACGAGTTAAATAAATATAATAACTGCAAAATAAGCATTATGAAGTATGAAGCATTTAAAAGATACCTTAAAATGACGACTCCCTGTTCCCACAATACCCCACAATTTGTTGATTTGTGTCAACAAACTATCACAACTTGGGCAGTGCGAATGTAGGGCATGACTACCAGGTGTAGTTGTTTTTTAAAATATATTACCGGTACTGTATCAACTGGAATCCTACTACCCCTTCCCTTCCGCAACACACATACAAACTGACTGCCCACCCCTCTTACTATACTTAAAGAAGTGTTTTGTTTTCTGTACAAACAAGACGGGATTGAAGCTGTTGGAAATCACTATTATGGTTTTGCGTTCACTCCACTAAGGCCTTAAATGTGTCGGGGACACGGAAACAGCGAAAAATCACCAGGTGAAACGAAAGTAATTCAATAATTCCTGAAGGTCAGCATGGGCAGTGGGTGAATGGTTCCGCACGTGCGTATCCTCAGGTTTAAGTGGGATTGCGAATGAAAACGTTTGCAAATTACGGGTACTGAAAATAGGATTGTTACATCGGGAAATTTTGTGTGTGGATGAGTTTGTTTCTGCATTCAATTGGGGACCCTGAACAATAGAGGACAATAAGGTCCCCGATTGACAGAGGGTCCCCGATTGACAACTGTGTATAAATCATATGGGTGGTCTTCTAAAAATGTTAGTGTACAAACAAAAGAGGAACAATAGGGGGTCCCCAGTTGCAGGCAAATACACACTTGTGGGTGCATGTACGTGGTGATTTTTAACAGAGATTTTTAACATCATTGCTTAATATCAAAATACGTTGTAGTTAAGTATGACATACGTCCTTCACACATAATAGTTTGAAGAACGTTTCCAGGGAGGGAGTTATTTCGTTGAAAGAATTCGATCGTGTTGTGCACAGTGGTTGTGGAAGATCAAGAGGTGGACTTTTTTTACATATGATGTAAGATATGGGGCGGACAGAACTTCCCGCCTTTGTGTTGGTCATTGTTTGATCAGAATCTCAGGAACTCTTTACAGAATTTGGGGGGGGGGTAGGTAACAATAATCTAGAGTGTGTATAGGGATTGGACATGGGGGGTACCCGTTTGCCCCATATCGTGCGCGATATCACTTTTTAGCGTTAGAACTTTTGAGATTCTACTGTGAATTACAGTCCTTCCAGAAATCAGTATTGCGCCTCTTCAACCTCTTTCCGTACCGTGTAAGGGAGATGGGGTCACTTTTCATTTACATCCGGATTCTAATCCAGGACGTTCCATCGAGAATGAATACTGCCCAAATAATTTTTTTTTTAAATACAACATCTATAGGTGATTCTACATTGATTCTTCATGTCTACACTGAAGTAACAAAATATGACGATTGATTTGCTGACCAAGATACTTGGAAATCTTTTTGTTATATTATATTTCAACAGAATCTGGACTAAAAATATAAAGCATAAATAAGACCATGGCCGACCACGAGGACGCAGACTCGATCATCATGCGAATGAGGAACTCCGGTGCAAATGCCATTCGCTTCGAGATCTCCGACTTCTTCGACAGGTCTCACTCCACGGTCGTCCCCCAGAATAAATACCACCAACTAGCCACCGAGGGGCTGGAGTTTCCGCTTCGAGGGGTCTTTAATGACACCGACAACACCTTCAAAAGTGTCTACCACGAGAAGATTGGTACCCTGAAGCCTGATTTCGACAGCACCCTCCTCCGACTTCCCCTTAGCAGAGGTGTGGCTTTGACACTAGCTGAGCCTCAGCTCGACGGTAATCCCTTGCCCACCTACCCTCGCTACATCGCACGGAAGCAGCTACAGCGTCTTAGTGAGCTCGGCTTCACCCTCAAGTCGGCCTTCCATCTCCAGTTCTTCCTGGAGGCGCTAGAGGAGCGCATCTCTCCAGATCTTCTCGCCGATTTTCTCGACGTTCTGCGAGGTGTGGCCATTGAGCCGCTGTTCCTTAATACCGGAAAGCTCAACTACTACATCGATGGGACTTATAAGGAGAAAGCGGGAATCAAAGGGGCTGACAATGCACACCTCTTCAAGACCTTCGTGAAAGCGGCAGCCGTTGATAAAGGTTTAGACGTCAGTTTCTTCTCGAAGTTTCTTCGCAATCGCCAGATCCAGCAGAACTGCTTCCTCTACTTCCGCCACTCCCTGTGGGACGCCGAGGGTAAGAAGGATGTGACACACGACCCAGAGAGCCCAAGCGGCCTCACTGAAGTCGCCCAGCACTGGTTGGCAGGTATCCTGGAACACATGCCGGCCATCACCCGCTTTATGTTCCCAACCGACTTCTGCTGGAAGCACCGCTCGACCAAGACCGAGACCGTGAACGACAAGTGGGAGAAAGACAGCACCGGGTCCTCGGTGCGTCTCCACGTTGGCGGAGAGGGCAAGACCTTCATGGAGACCCGCCAGGGAACGGGCCGATGCAACCCGTATCTCCTTTTGGCAGCGGTGGTGGCGGCCGGAATCGATGGCATGAAAAAGAAGTTGCCTCTGCCAGAATCCGGCACTGACAGCGGGAGAGAGATGCCGACGTTTTCCAGAAAGGCTATGGAGGCCTTTGAGGCAGACGAAGTCCTGATCAACGCTCTGGGGGCGCGGGAAAATTTCATCAAACTTCTTAAAGCCACGTATCAGGACATCGATTAAAATGGGGTGTGAGGCAATTTCGCTGAGCACGTCTGTTCTAGTGTTCTTAACAGTACCTGTAGCCACATTATTGACCAACTACATGTATTTATGCCAACTATAGTATGCGAACTATGATAGGCCTACCTGTTTGTGACTTTGCACTGACTTGAATTACCTGTTCAGTAATTTCTCTTAAATGAGCAAAATCGGAGCAAGCAACAGTAAACTGAGCTTTGACTCCCAGACAGCATGGTAATCTTAGTGTATAAATCGAAAATGATACATGCTGTTAGCTGTACGAGTATAACAATCTGATCATTAGTTTTTAAGTGTTACTTTTCACAGAGAGTTTGGATAGATTATAGAAACTTTTCTTGATTTAAAGAAAGTTAGCTGATTGATTGACACAAACATTTTTTCTTTTCTGTTCTATAAAACAGAGCAAAAATCGTCAATACCTGTGGGACAACCAAGCATTATCAGACAAACACTGAAACAGGCCCATGGGTCCATTTTTGTGGCTTCTTATAACAACATTTTATCTCCCAAGTGGTATTTGCAAATTAACAATAACAGAAATGTAAATCATAAAAACCATAGGCTTGGCTCGCGGTGACATTTTACATGCAGGGACTGCAGAGAGATGAGAAAAGTTTACAAATGGCCGTATAGGCCTAGTCTCCTCCCTTGATCAGTTGAAAGGGTTTATAGGTATGGTAGGCCTATAGTGAGCAAGGTTATTCTGTTGCAGAAAATTAGCTTCAAATTACTAAATTTTAGACTCTACATCGTCACTTATACATAACCCTCTATATGTGTTCTCTTTAATGCTTAAAAGTTATTCGTTTTTTGTGGTAATAACGCCATTTGACGGCGCACTTGCATGACACGGTTCTACTCAGCATTCAAAAGACACAGGCCCACATTATACATGTACATCATAATCATTGTGTTAATGTATACCATACAGTACATCGTATGTCGTTTCCAACAAAAAATTATCCCACTCACCGAGGATTACAGACGTCTCTTTTTCGGCAATACAAGCCAACTCTAGCAGCATTATGTGATCCTGCTGGCTCTCCATGTCGGACTCTCCAAAATCAAACAACAGCCACAACGCCACATTTCAGTTCTTACGAACAAACTTCGTGAAAAAGATGGTGCGAACATCACACGACTTGCTGCGTTTCGGCCATTTTGAAACTCATACCAAATTTTTTTTACCACATGCACGCATGACCAATCTCAAGAACTTATTTGTAAATGTTAAGCTACGTTATATCAAACACTCTTTTAGCTGTAATCAATATATATGTTTATTAATTAAGTAACAATAAAAGTAAATATGGTTATTTGTCAAGAACTTTGTGAGTTAATATTTTTTTAATTACGTTAACCACGCTTGACGACTATGGTAAAAAGTGAAGTAATTTGCATATGAATAGCGCCTCAAGTTTTGCTGTAGAGGTTTATAGGGATGATCTGTTGATTCGGAAACCAGGGCCGTTTTCCAATACCCAATTCGTCTCCGTCTCAGGCTTCGTGTAGGAAACCAATCCCCGATTGTGGGCCTGAAGCGTTTAAATTGAATTGAAATACTGTAATGTTTTGTTCTTTTGCTTCTTCATTGATGTTTTGTGGCACTATCAGACTTACTATTGCGCTTACAACCTCAGAGTCAGGAAGTAAAAAAAAAAAAAAGTTGAAGCCTGAATCGGGACCCAAGTCGAGTATTGGAAAACGGCCCAGATAAGGGCTTTACTAATTATTCATTATAGTGCAAAAAATTGAAAAGAATTTTTCTTGAACATAAAGTCAATGATGTTTTTAGAATCTTTCAACTTATAGCCATCACTGTCAAACATTAAAACCTTTTCAGGTTTACGGACACAAGTATTACTGTATTAGAAATTATCTCCGAAAAATGTGATATGAATCAAATGACAGGATATTTTCCAGGTTTCTGAATAAAATCTACTTTAACTCATGACATTGGTCACACAACTGGGATACTCGTCACTCCAGGCGCCATCTTTGCACGTGATTATACTCTTCCCTAACAGCTGATAGCCCTCCAGGCATTTGAAATGTATGACGTCACCGTGACTTGTACCTCCTGTTGAAACGGAGTTTGACAGAGCCGGAATACCCATACAGTCAGCTGAAAGAAACAAACACCGGCTGCTAATGATTAAAACAGAAACCTGGCGTATTTACCCCCCCCCCCAAAAAAAATAACTACGAGAAGCTCAGTATCGTAACTGTTTTAGCTACACGCCCGGAAAATCTAAGTTTTATCAACAGATAATAAACTTCACAATGGTTTAGTGCCAGCACTTGCCACCTGTTACAAATTTATATTATCGTATTATGTATACATGACAGTGAGTACAAAATAGTTAGTATTCATTTAATCAGATTAATTATTCAGGGTTGATTAAATATGTATACAAAGATGCCGAGTTTAAAGGAAACATAAATGCACCGAAGCAAGATGGCACTGGGCGGTTCCATTGTCCGTTCCGGCAGGTGACAGCAGCAGCCCCGACCAAACTATACCCAGGCTCACAGCTGAAGAGTGCCACGGTACCGTACTTCTTTGCTGCAGCAGAGACGGACACGGCGCCGTGTGCGGGTGCTGCTATTCCCGGACAGTCAGCTGTTAAAAATACAGATTGAGGAACTTGAATGCTACAGGCCCATTACACAAGTGAGTTGCGGTGGAATTCCGCTCTGTCAAAAACACAGATAGCAGTTTTCTTATAGGTTGTGCACACTCTGAGCGGTCAAACTGCGCGGTCACTCGATAAACCGCTGCGTTTAGAAACCTGAGCGATTTTCCACCAATTAAAGATACCGCGCCAAAACTTTCCTTTCTGGCCAATCACCGTTCTCTTTGGCTATGCCATCACGGTCTGGTTGGTACGTCATTACGCAATGTTAGTAAAAATGAATACCAAACGGTTTTGCGCTCCTGTGTAAACCACGTACCAAGCGCCGATGGAGATAATCCCGGGAAGTTTTTTCAGTTTAACGACAGTGGGATGGGTGAGGAGTATGGTGACAAGGGGGGGGGTTCTTATCTCCGAAGGTAAAACAAATTTTATATACATAGGCCACTCTTATTGTAGAAGCGCTCCGTTCTTTGTCGTCAAAGTTTAAATTTGTTCTGATGGAGGGGGGAACCGATTGTACAAATGTATTTTGTCATTTTATGGATTTTCTTAATCATTTATTGTATCTGCTGGGACCCATGGGAGATCAGTTTTGATACTGAATGGGAAACCCAGGGTAAATAAGATAATAATAATACTAATAACAGAATATCCCGGTGACCCAAACAGTTAAATTTTACTAAATTAATTAAATGAATTTGAATTTAGGAGTCTTAGCCGCTCTTCTTTACTGTGCCCTCTTCATTTCACAAATACTTTTTCTTCTCTAAAATGCAACGATGTCACAAACTTTTTTTTGGGGGGGTTGCAAAAATCTGGAAAGGGGTGGTGATACTATAACACATCCCAGGTAAAAACTAGGGGGCAGGTCCACGCCTATGCCGTCCCTTATCAATTCCCTCAACAGTTACAAAGTCATCGTCTGTGTGCTGAATAGAGTGTCACAGTCATTATCGCGAAGATGTCAGTCTCACTTACCGATGCACTGGGGTACAGGTAGGGACCATTCACCGCTTTCTTGGCAGACGGACACAGGGGAGCCCACTCTTTCATAACCGTCGGGACAGTCAAAGCTCAGTTTACTACCGGGCGTGAATCGAGACGGTCCCCGTCGCGTGCCTCCTTCGGGCAACCCAGGATCGGAACATTCAACTGAAAAGTGATGGGAAAGACTGGTTAAACAATGCATTCCAACATCAGTTCCCGACGAAAAAGATTGACGGCACAATACATGCTCTTTAAAAAGGGCTCCCTAGACTTCAGGTCGATTAATAGGTGTTCCACTTAGAAATCAGCAGGTCTGTATTAACTTTTGTCAGATGGACATGATGAAGTTGTCAAGGAAACAGTTAAGAAATGCAGAACGGACAAGGTCCATCCAACAGAGAACAAGTAACCGCTTCAGCTTGGGAAGAGCATTTTACACCGCCATTTTGAAAGCTAAGTTTGACAGAGCACTTACCTTCACTCCCTGAAACAACCGAAATAATTTCAATCAGAACCACGACAACTATAAGCACCGCACCTCTCATCGTTGGTTCAATTTCCCACAAGATGGTTGAAACAAAGACCAGTACCAGTCTCCTCTGAATTGTTGCCAAGTTCGTTTGGTCCGGTGTGTCGTCGGTGATGATGCACACAGTTAGAATGACCACGGAGGAATGACATGGCAAAAGGTGGTACAGTTTTGTTTGCCGAGGCTTTGTTAAAAGGGAGGTCTCCGCCCAATACGACCATGGAGATGTTACCTCCATGTGTTTACTTAGTGGATTAAAGAGAGTAGACTTCTCATGTGTTCCAGTTTGTGGGCAGCATATGCAGTGACGTAACTGGAGGGTGGCACAGGAACGTGCCCCTGCCCTATTTGAGATTTTGAAATGTGCACAGCTCAATTATGTAAAGGCCACAATTAATTAAGCTTCAGTACCCCTTTACCCCCCCCCCCAAAAAATCCCAAACAAACGTGCGCACCTCGGCAGTGGCGTATTAAACTTGGGGGCATATTGCGGGGGGGGGGCACTCGTTTTCCAGAGAGGCAATGGTTCCAGCCACAGTCTAAGCAACGACTAAGGCTATGACCAGAGCTTTCCCTTATGTAATTTCAAGCGGGGTGCAGGACACAGGCCTCGATCGGGGGGCCGTGCCTCATGTTCCCAGTGACCCCCCCCCGGGTGCCCCCATCAGAAAGTTCCCCATTGACGCTACTGTGCATATTTACGGAGACCACTATGGAAGGGTATCTGAGATCTCTTTATCAGCCATCATTACGTATAACTGACTCTTCCCAAATAATGTCCGACGGACGGGAAAATTCTTGGGAAGGTCTTTTCTGGGAGGAGGGGGTGGGGACAGATGTTAGAGATCCTTTGTGTCTTTGTACATGTAGTTTGCGAAGATAATTTTGAAAAAAGAGTTGGAATACACTGTGAATCTTTTACTTTTGCTGTTTATTCTCCAATTTTCATGTTCTATTTCTAATCAACTCTCAATTTATAATTGCTAATAGAATTTTAACATAATATTTTCCTTACAATTCGTCAAATATATTTTAACATTTTATCCATTATAGCAGTATAGTTCCGTGGACAAATTCCACAATCGCAATTCGCAAGAATAATGACCGACCCAACGATTATCAAAATCCTACAATTGCACACATTACTCAAAAATAATTTACAATATTATTTACATTTTAGAGCAAATTCCTGGGCAAACAGTGCTGTCTGTACACTAAATCCTGCTCCATCACCACTAGACAATGACTGATAAAGTGTACATTTCAAAATCCTCATTTACCGACAAATAACATTTGACTTTTCAAGAAAAAAAGTATTTCTTTCTTTTTTTTTAACTTTCCCTTTTGGAAAACAGAAAATTGTATTTCTGTGCTACTTTCTACATACACAGGCCAAGCATACCAACTTTTCTTTTAACTTTACCAGACAGAATTGGCGTAAACCAAACACTTCTAAAAACAGGAATCACTCAGTGCAACCCCATTTCTGCACTACATCGCTCTATGTATTAAACTGACCTTTGCAGAGATAACTTATCTCTCTCCCTACCAACACTACCCTGCAAGCCATAGGTAGTAATGTTCTGGACAAGGACTTGTTCAACCAAAGAAGCTTTCAAGCTATTCTAGTGCTAAAAGGTCGAACACCTTTTTTCAGATCTGGCTGAATAAACTGTTGGCCATTTCACGAACTTGATGTCAACTGTACATGGGTGCTCTTCAGAGAAACTTCTATCATTGCCGTCTGTATTACCACAAGTGGCTAGGGCAGGAAACCATCCAATCAGAACTATGGGCATCGTGCACAAGAACCTCCTCAGCTGTGAACATCGGGCAAAGTTGGACCGACTGTCCGGTATCCACCACAATGATTATTCAGTTAGAATGACTATGGCTTACCCAATCATGGCTATGACCAATCATTACATCACTAAGAAAGGCTTCATGGATTTGTGTGTTATGGCCATCTCAAAATCAAAATAGTATATGCAATTTATCTTTTGACAGACATTTTAGAAAACTTTACAATTCACAGGAGTTGCGTACCATTCATTTGGCAAAACACTGCCCTTTTCCACCTAACACTTTCTTCCAAACCAAATAACAGGAATTCTACATGTGCAACAAATATATGAATACATGCATCCTTCACAGTGAGACAGCCTGAAAAGGAGGAAAACTGCCATAAAAATTACCATATACAATTGCGTCCTTCTAACTAAAGCAAATGGACAAATCTATCCATAAATTGTCGAGAATGTGCGGATACGAATTGCGTACAGAATGAGGCAAGCATCACAAACTCTAAAATCCAAATTCAAAAATGAAGAATAAATAACTGTTTCTTAGACAAGTTTCCTTTAAAGATACAGCTAAATACAATAAAATGTAGGGGTATAAATATAAATATCGATGCTTACTTGCTTAGGTCATTTTAAATTTCTGATCTGCTCCATGTACAAGAATTGAAAAGCAATTTTCTTTAAATCATTGTTCCCAGCGATGCTTATGGACTTGTTTATGTATTTTTATACATGTGGGAGAAGCTCAGTGATCTTTGTTATGTAATTATTAAAACTTACCACACAGTTGTTTTACCACAGTTGTGCCGAATTGGAGCATAAGCCACGGTTTGTATAAGTCGCAATTTGAGATTGGGAAAGAGGGCTGCATTGCAAGTTACTGAACTGGCATCCTACTCTTAAAGCGAGATCTTTCATCTTTCGTGCAAATGGCACAGCTGATTTCTTTGTGTTTAAGAGTAGCCCCTTTTAACGATTCCCAACAAATATTATTTGATTGGCATTGAAATTATCCATGTAGGCCTACATCCTTTTGTGGACTGCATTCAATTGCATGTTAACCCTGTCACCATACCACATCTGTAAACACCCAAAAATGAAATTAAAAATGCCAAGATGCGTGGATGGTCTTGTACATGAATCTACATACACCAATTAATTTATGATTTGAAATTTTCCAGGTTCCCAGTGCGCTCATTTTGTTCTGCTGCACAATTAACATGACATTAAGAGCTGTACATACTGACATGAGCAAACTTTGTTTCTGTGGCATGTGATAGAAATCCCAAAGGTTTGATTGAACAAGACCAAGTTTGATTAATAACAATGGCACATTTTGTTAACGATGCATATTGGCGACAAGTACTTCAGTCCTGGCTCCCTGGTTTACACTTCAATGGGCGAGGCTACTGATGACTAGGATGCAAGCAACTTTCATTATCTGAAAAGTCGGTGAAACTTAAAACCATGGTTGACTAACGGGCATTCTAATGTAAATTTGTCAAATTTTGATTACTCACAGACTTGACTGAATTTGCTCCAAATTTGTGAGATTCAGGATGACACTTCTAACAGACTGGTACCTGTGACAAGAATACCCCTTTCCCACTGTTTGATGCCACACACACTTAAGGAAACCCGACACAGACGCTGGCAGTTTCAACGAGAGACCCTCTGGGGGAGAGGGACTTCAATTGTGATTCTCGTTGATGAGGTTGTCCAGCTGTGGCTGGAACGTGGTGATGGATGGGGACGTGGGCTGGGATGGGGGGGGTGAGGCGGCGTCCGATGACCCCAGCTTCAGCTCCTTGTAGCAGGGCCGGCAGACCGCTACGGGACGCTCATAGAAGTGGCCTGGGAGCGTGGTCTGCTTGTCGATGCACCTGATGCAGAAGACCTCACCGCACTTCCAGCAATGGTACTAGATGACGGGAAGATAGGATGAAAAATTAGCTGTCATGACTACCAAAAGGGATATAAAGGTGCCCTTGATAAAAGACAGTACACGGATGATGGGAGAAGGCAAATTAAAGTAGACAACTTTAAGATACAAAGCACTCAGGTGCATGCACAAGAGTGACAGATAATATAGAAAAATGGGCCCAAAAATGCTCTGCACACGACAGGGAAGCAAGATTGAAGCAAAGATTTGGAAAGATAAGGTCCAAAGTCAGTCAAAATTGTTCAGTGTTAACACTTTTGTTTGTGGGTGCTGAGTGAAAAAGAAGCCCAACACAGAAACTTCAAAATAGACCATTTGAAAAGGTTTCCAGACAAACCTCTGACTGAAACCCATCAGACAAGTGAAAAAAGTAGATGTATCTTAACCACTTCCTGCCAAGGATTCTGGATCCGGACACATATGCTTTATAACGTGGCCGGGGTCTCTGAACTCGGACAAGGGGAACAAGGCCTTGTAACAAAAGACCGTAGTCAGAACAAAAGACCAGGGTGCTGGGCATTGCCGACATTTTTTCCCTCTCAAAAATGGAGATAATCTATCCTTGTTTTGAAACAGTATACCAGGGTTTGGGGCATTTAGAGCGAGCGGATTACCTCCACGGACAAAAGCGCTCTACCACTGCAGCGATGAGCCACACAGCACCGCTGCATGCTAATCTGGCCCCTATTGAAAAGAGGTCAGTATCGCACTGAGCCAGGTTTGTGAACAAAAGAAAGTTATATAATACCGCACAATCTGGGCTCTTTTTACAAGGCTGCAGGCCTGGCTGAAATACTCGGGCGTCAATAGATGTTGTCTGTCAGGCTAGAGGGACCACCAGACAGTCCTTCACGTGTTTGTAAGTGTCCAGTAAATGAAGATAGGAATTTTTAACGAATTTTGAAAACAGAAAAAAATGATAAATATCCCGGCCCAGCATCATCAACATTAATAACTGCCTCGGCAGGATGTGGTAAAATACGTTTTGGTTAAAAATAGTTGATTTAAAGCAGCTTCTTTCCAGTGTTAATTCAAACCACAGCACATGCACTAACATAAACTCAGAGCAGGTGAAGTACATCACCTTTGGGGATAATTCACAGAGTCTTTTTGGCCTGTGTACGGTTACGGCTAAAATATTTGACAGACTTGAAACAAAACATTCCAGCTCTCACCTTCCGACTGAAGTGATCAAATGGGGATGAACACACACACTGACGAATATTCCTGAATCCACGCCAGTTCAGGCTCACAGACTCCACGGCCTCGGCCAGCAGAGATGCCGACAAAATCTCCCCACTATCCTCCCTCCGGATGTTGATGGGCTTGTTGGGAGAATTCAGCAACAACCCCTGGTCTGCTCGCCGGTTGTCTGTCATTGCACTGCGGTGGTTCTCCAGAGTCTTGTTGTCTGGCGGGATGGAGGTGTCCAGCTCTTTCTCCGAGCTATCCTCTGAGCTGCTCTCCAAGGAGCTGATTTCAGGTAACGAGGCAGCTTTGCCATCAGACAAATCCGACACATCGCCATCCTCGCTAACACCCAGAATATCCTTTAAACATGAAACTTTCTGTACAAAAGTAAGAGGGAAACTGGACCGTTATTCATGATGGCAGGAAGAGGTAAACATTAATCATACCCATGTTCTTGAACAGTGAGCATCATGTGAACTTGAAAGACAGTGCTTAAAAACAGTCTTTAGCAAAATGTCATGGCTAGGTTGAGCAGTACACAAGAAGTTTACACGACCTTGATTACAAATCAAATCTTTAACCTTAAAATATGAGGCAAACTGATGTTTGAAAAGCATCATATTCTACATTATCTGTCACAATTCTGCTTATGATTGGTTTTAGTTGAAAACAATTTATTTCAAAATTATTTTTTCCATTTGTTAAGTGCCTTTAAAATGTTGAAGTTTTGCACAGCACTGAATCAAGCCTGACAGAAATTTTCAAGTAGTTTTCTATCTACAAGTAGGATTAAAAATGGCTGCAAAAATAAATTTCACCATTTCAGCCTCGTAAAATCTATCCATAAAAGTCTTCACTAGCAATTAAAACTTGATAATTTAAAACATTAATAAGTGGATTAAGTCAACATTCCAATGGATGCATTAACATGATTGAAAAACTTCTCTACTGCTGATTACAGCCTCACTCCCAGGCTTTCCTTTGGTTATCTAACTAAAACAAAAGTTACAGAATACAAACGTAAGTTGGCAGGTTAGTGTTAAGTTGGTTGGTTAGTAAGTTTTCCAGCACTCACATTTTCTAAGAATTGGACGTGGTCAGAGAGTGAAGAGCTGTGGTCCTTCATGGCATTGAGGATATCAGCTATTGGCTCACGCGGGTGTACGCCGTTGTCATAGCGATTGTACATCCCCCTCCAGAATCTAGACAAACCAACCAATATTTTAAAAATTACAGTCCAGAACTAAAATAGTTCCCAAACAGAAAGAGGACAATAACCCTTGCTATCTGGATTTTATTTGCCATAGCAAGTGTTTATAATGAACATTTGTAATCAGTTCAGGAAGTTCACAATAAACTGACTAAAAAGATCACACATTGAAAAATTCAAACAGGTAATGATTTGAGGGTGGGCATTTCACAAAAGTAAATGATTCATTTGGTTCTACATGTGAGTAATGACAGCCACATTGCAAGTTATTCATAGCGATAATAATCATGATGGGAAAATGATGAAGCTGATGAGAACTGAAATGACGACCTTTCTGCACACAACAGGATGTGTCAAAATGCACCAATGAAGTTTGTGGCACCGTGAAATGCACTGGATAAACTGAACTTGGCCAAATCAAACTCTGCCCTTCATTTTCACTGATAAATGCAACAATACAAAACAACTTTTTGCCACAGGAGAATTTTGTAGCTTTTGGCAGGATGGGGATAACAGACCATTTAATGGGTGTGACGTGTTTAAAAGAGACCTCCTCTAATAGAATGTACATATTAAGTAGTGGTGAACCTGTGAATTCCCCCCTTCACCCACATGCATCACCCATTGACAACTTGGGGGTTACCCCATCCTCTAGGGGCGAATGGCTTCATTCAGCACCCACCTGAACATCTGTGGGGTCAGGTTGGGCCTGAGGATGCCCCCCGTGGCTGGTGAGTCTGCCTTGTAGAGTGGGTTGTAGTAGTCGGCCATGCGCTCCTGCATGTAGGCCCAGAGAGAGTAGGTCCTCTCCGATATCCTGTGGAGAGAACACAGAGCCACATACTTCAGTCAGCATTAAATCTGCCTGGACTTCCGTATCTAATAATGTAATTTGGTATTTTTATTTAAGCTATTTGAAAGGAACTTCGGTAATCCTAACCAGTGTTTGGATTTCAGTTTTTTGTATCTGAGATTCTGGTTTTGTTTCTCAAATTTATGTTTTTTATTTCTTGTTTAACCCTTTGTACCGGGAACGTCCACAGCCGTGGCTTTGTGTGAGGAATAGTGCATACCACACATACAGTCTATTCACCATGCCGCTGCTGGTTCAATGGGGCCTGCTGCTAGACAGAGCTTTGCATACTGGGCATACCACAGCCCAGCAGTCATGGTCAAAAGAATCCCGGTGCAGAGGGGTTAAAAGAGATTTAAAATGTAAACAATATAAAGTATTGGCATGACAGGCAGCGGGATTTCACCTGTTGTCCACGCGGTCCTTCTCACAGTTGCCAAGGAAGTTACCAAACTGGCAGGAGAAGACATGGTCATGGAGCTCCAGGAGGAACCGTTCATTAAACTGGAAAGCACAGGGGAACTGCTGGGTCAGCTGCCAGACGCAGTCCACAAACTGCGTGAAGACCGGTGAGAACTCGCGGGAGTCATATGACACCAGGCCGCACCTGTTCCCGATCAGGCACAAGAGATGAGTCTCTGTTTTTTAACACGGTTAGTCAATGAGCCGTTAAAAGAAGCTACGTGTAGTTCAAGGCACAAACCAGCTGTTAAATGTCTTCTACCTAAATGAGACATGTCCTAAACACTTCTGACAAGCTTTGACAAAAACCTTCAAAAATTAGCCAGCGTATCCATGCACTTTTTTGTAGACTTACACATGTGATATCCATTTCCTGCATAGTAATTTGCCATTCCCAGAAATAGCCATGCTACACCTGGCTTAACATTTCACACCTTCAGGCCCAAAACATTAGACATTCCGGAACTGACTGTGTTGTTATATATTTCCTTTGGAGCCCAAATGCACTTTATGTGCAAAACATAGGAAACTGAAAGAGACAGCACCCTTGCTAAATACTTGTATAATGGATTTGACTAACCTGTCAAGAAACTTGTGCCCAAATGCTAGCCATTCCTTCTCTATTAAAACCTGCAAGAAAAAATCATTACACGATGAGAAACTTCAAGAAAAATACAAATGAACTCGCAACACGTTGCTGATTGCTTTCTTGAAATTTCATTCTGGAAGTACAACATGCATCTTAACCATGCTAACCACATGGAAACGAATGCCACGTACTGAGTTTCCTCTTTTGCTTTTTTGACATACAGTACTGTGGCTTATGGAATTCACAGAATTGATCACTTTGTGGTAAATGCATGCCTCTGAACAGGCAAACTTCTTGTGGGGCACCCTCCTAATAGAGATTTTTTGGTGACATAACACAAGGGGCAAAGGCATTTCAGGAAGCACATACTTTTCGAATCTGTGTATTTCTATTACAGAGAAATGTATAGAAATCAGTGTATTTCTGTATTGGCAATTTCATGTACGCTCGTATGTCGAGAAACTTTGAAGACGCACACACTTCCGTGCACACCTGTGTAAATTGAAAATTCCAAAATCACACGACTGAAAATCCTCTACAAGGCAAGGTTTGAGAACTTATCTGACAGGATTGGTTCAGAACAATTCAGATTTGGGCATTGGTCAGAGCAATACTTTACTTAACGCAGCAATTTACCCCTATGGAAATAGTAAGATTTATGACCAAACACCAACATGTAGCAAGATCCTGTGTTTGTTTGTTTAGGTGTTTGTTGGGGTGTTGGGGTGTTTGTTTGTTTGTTTGTTTGTTTGTTTGTTTGTTTTGGGAGGAGGGGATACTGTGACGCGGTCAACACTGTACACCCTAGTCTCTTTACTTTAAAATGCATCTGGATGTCTCAAGATTTTGATTCACTGCAAAGAACGTGCTGTGGAAGATTCCTGAACGCACCATGGGAAAATGCACAACTCAAGACTTAAATGACAGCCTATAATGAATAAAAGCTAGTCCGAGCTAAGCGCGTACCTGAAAGCCCTGTATCGTTCTGTAGTATGAATCAAGTAGTAGACTAGCCAGAGAGCATGTCTGTGCGGTCCGGTCCCAGCCATCAGAGCAGTGGACTAACACACTAACACCCTCATCAGAGAGAGCCTGTAAAGAGATTGGTAAGGAAACAGGGAGACCAGTAACAAAGCTGTTCCTTATTCAGTCCTAAGCCCCATGGTAATTTCTGAATAAGTCTTTGCAGCATGAAAATCTACAGTCATTAAGTACTCTGTGGGGATGCCCTAGGTCCAGGAAAGCGAAGCGATGTGCTTGTACCTGACCATAATTTCACGATTTCCTGCCAAAGTTGGCCAATTAGAACTTCAGCTACCAACAATGAAAGGTCTTAATTTTTGACATCCAAGACTGTGAATGACTGAATGACGGGGCAACTTTTAATACTTCTCTGAGGGGAGAAGGAGGGGTGCAGAAAGGGTTTACCCTTGCAATGAAGGCTGAGGTATCCATTATAGCCTTGATGTGTTTGAGCCAGCCGCTGTTCTCTAGACCAGTCAGAAAGGCTTCCATGGAAGGATTCTTCAACTCACACACTGACAAAAAAAGATTACTCAAGATAACATAAAATGCCCCGCCCTAAAGGGCTAGATATCAACAAAAGGCCGAATGGATGCTTGTGAATGAAACTATCAATGAATTTCATTGTACATGAGGTCAGGAACATTTTCCAAGGTTCCTGAAACTATGTAAATTTATATGTCTTAACCATCCTGTCTTCCTGGCTGCCTCATGGCCTAGTTCTGAGGGTTTATAATGAACAGAATGCAGTGACAATTGTGCACTTGATTTGACCCCATGTCAAAGGTCATGAGGTCTGTGTAGTGGTGTCTGACTACATCTGGACAATGGAATAAACTCGCAACTATGGCAATTTGAAGCACTATACAGAGCTGTTAAAAAAAAAACCAGAGGGATGAAGTCGCAATTGTCAATGAAAACAAAACAAACTGAATAAGAGTAAGAAAACTTGACTGGACTCTGACTATTTTTCCTAGAAAACCTAATTGGACTCCAAATGTCATAAATTCCTTCATAACCTTGCTGCACTGCTTCCTTTCCAAAGGAGTAAAATCACAGGCTCATAAAATTTGATTGCACCAACCTGCCTCCTTTGCCTACATGATATCACATCATACTCCAGACACTTTCCAGAGAACCCATTCGTCAGAGATCTCACCGATTCCTACTCACCTTCTGTAAGCTTTTGCAGGCTGTTCCTCATTACGTGGATGTTCTCGATGCCCAGGAACTTGAACTTGATGTTGGTGTAGAAATCCGTGCTTTCGTACCCCTTCCCTGAGGCTTTGTTGACCATGGCATTAATCTAGGCATGAAAACAGACAGATTAACAAATGATAAGGAAGGGAAAGAGTTCCGTATCCCACCACCAAAGTTAAACAAATTCTACCGTAACTTGCATTTTCATTCGAGATAAGGCAGCTTTGGAGAAAATTGGAATTGTCTGTGGACAAGTTATTTTGGATCATATTTAAGTAGCTGTTGGTGTCTATAAAACATTAGAATCGTGGTGGCTGGATACAGAAGATTTTCCAATGGAAAGACCGATGTTAATCATTCAAATTCTTCCACATAGTACTAATCACTTAGAAATATGTTCATCTTTGATATCTACTACAAGTATACCACACTGTCCATTCAGTTGTGGTAAGAAAGCAAATCCACAGACACTGTTACAGAATTCATATGAACGTGGTCAAAATCGGAAACATGGCTCACAAAACAAAGACATGAGCCTACCTTTGGCCTTGTGTCCACAACGTACATGAAAGTGCTTTTGGGATTGGTCTTCAGGATAGCCTGTAACATCTGCTCGTCCTCAAGACAGCGTGCACTGAAGCCAGCCAAAGGCTGGCTGCAGCGAGACATGCTTGCCTGCAAAGAACAGGAAACAAAACAAAGACAGGTTTGACTTCATGATGCAGTCATCATCACTGAAAGACAAAAATCTGAAAAAAAAAGCCATTTGATAAAAACAAACACCCCAAGAAACAAACCAAAAACCACTCCAAAACAGAACTTACTAACAATGCCTAAGTCAAGACCCCTTAAGACCATCAGAAGACCAAACAAGACCATCGTACACTTTCCTGCCTGGATTCAAGTCACAAGCTATTCAACTAAATCGCAACAAAAGCATTCCTACATCACTGTTCACCGCGTTACTTGTGACTGGTCTTGTGAAAAATCTTATCTTTAGTCTCGAGATGGTCTATACTACAACACTGTTTACGCACACAAAAAAAAGACCAACTAGGAATGATAAGTTTCGATCAAAGATGCAAATCCAGACTAGTACCCTTCTCTCAACATGTACCTACATTGTTATCTTTGTGGAGGTAGGACAATACTGGTAGTCTGCCCCGGCTGCGGAATCGGGCACTGCCTACCAACACTGGAGTACTGGCTGAGACGGGCACGTGGATCACCTTGGGATAGGTGTCACAAATCTAAATAAAGATGATTCATAAAGACCATAAAATGAATCGCATCACAGCTAAAGTGTGCAGAATAAATTGGCAAAAAGCTGTATGTTGTAAAGTTAGATTGAAATGCGAGCAACACGCAGCTTTACGCACAACAATCTGCCACACCTTGTAGGACCACCTTAGGTGGCAATGGAGAAAATCTTCCCAGTTTACTGGAAGGCAAAGTTAGATGACTTTTCTACTGACTGTGGCAAATATTTTTGACAGAGCAATTCCACCCTTCAGCACACTGTATTGTTTGCAAAGTTCATGCAGCAAAAGTAAGATGTAGATTTAAGAATATCTGATGTTTGCCAAACTTTACTCAGTTATGAGGTGTGAAAAACGTTATCAAAATCTCCGATGACACATGAGTGGACGGACTTCAGTGCTCTGCCAGCCAACCGTGCTGTCTCTCACAGTGTAATTTGGGTTGACTACCGAGGCGTGCAACCTCAGGGGAGGGGAGGGTAGAAGAGGAAGGTATGCACCTAGACTTGTCGGCACCCTGTCCAAATTTACCTCGTAGTTCTTGTTGACTGATGTGGCACACCAGTTGCCATTGGGGACCCCCATGCGAGCGTAGTCGGCCTTCAGATCAAATGGGTCCCAGCGGGCAGGCAGGCCAGTCTGGAAGCTGGCTGACTTGTAGTGAAATGCGTAGACCTCATTTAATGTTGCTAAGGGTAAACAAAAAGTGGAACTAAAAGTTTACTAGTTAGTACATTTGCCACCAAAAAAAACAACAGGAAATGATTGCAGAATTTTTGTCACTACTTACGAAGAAGTACATTGCACATGCTTGAAAAATGCCTTCAAATCTCTGTGCATGTATACTGCATATGTTCCCACTCTATTAGGAAAACACACTGCAATAAAAATACTACTTTTGAACAAATTAGAAATGTTCAAGCCACCATATCTTTACAATACTGTCTTTCTGTTTTGTGATAAGAGTGTCTTTGAATTGATGACTACTCAAAGCATCAGTAATTTATACTACAATGTGACATTCAGCTCCAATATCCTGCTTGTTTTAACATGGTTTGGTATTCTACTTATGCGTGAAATATCCCGTTAACTTTTCTTCTTTGTACTTCTTTCGGACCTGGTTTGGAAAGCTTCTGCAGGGACGTGTACAGCTCCTGGCAGCTCTTCTCTCTGGGAATCACAAACGTCGCCGTCTGGAATGTCTTACAGCGGATCTGCAGCGGTGAGCCCGATGTCGTCAAGGGCAGCTTCTCCACCGAGGAGATGTGCATGTGCTGGATCTGCAACAAACCAATGCAGTGAATGTGGAAGAGAAGCTAGGCCAGTCTCTGAGTAAAAACCAGTGGCTTCACTGTAGACTTTTCCAAAATCCTTGGATTTTTTTTTCTTTAGCTCAAATCTTTTTGAATCCTCACATAGTGAAAACTCTGCCAAAATCTGACTGCACTTTCTGTGCACTTGAACTTTTAGCACCAAGAATTAAGCATTTAAAAGTACCACAAATTCACAATGTACTATTGGCTAAACTTAACATGTAAGGTACATGTACCTTGATAAACTTTCATAAACATTCAAGTTTATTTAGAAAGATGTGGAAGAGTTAGGCTGTTTGGACTTCAGAACCAACTTCAACATTTGCAACAGTTCAGAGATGTTCCACAGTAACTCCCAGTAACTTCCCCAGAAATATACAACTTAAAAAGTATAAACAATGGGCTACGACAAAACATCCCCTGCAGTTTTGTTATTTGTCATACTGTAATTTACATGTGGAAAAGAGCAGTTGATAAGCAACTTTTAACTCAAAGATAAACATGTACTGTAAGTTATGGCCCTTGGATTCAATGCCCAATTAAACCCTTGATGACGGAAACTTTTCCTGAAAGCCAACTCCAAGAATTCCAGCCTTGCTTGGCCACGAAGGCCACCTGCCAAACTGCAAATTCTCGGTTTGTGGCCCTGCGTGCTCTGCATGCTTTGAATTACACAGTGAAAAGGATCATTGTTCAGTGGCATACGGCTCTACTCACGCTTCCACATTCCCATTGCCTCTTTTCAAAGTGGGAATTATTGTGAAGCTGGTGATTATGATGCAAATTTGGTCTTTTTATTTCTGGGCTACACACAAAGGCCAATCACCATATATACAAGAGCCCGGGTCTGCCTTCTTTCACCGTGTTCGCTCGAGCGTGGGCCGAGAATAATAGCTGAAAAGCGGGCTGAGGATCTCAATTTTTACCACGGCTTTTACCGCCATCTGTCGCGAAGGGGTTAATTAAACTCTGTGCCCAATTATCAACTTAAGGTTGCCAGGTTCTGGATTCTGTACACTGGTATTACATGCACAGCACATTAACAACGTTTTCTATTACAGTCAAAATCTGCCAAACAGGAACTTCAACATGTGTGACTGTTTTCTATTTTGTTTATTTTTTCTTTTTTTACTTTTTGTTTTACATGTACATGTCTTCAGTTACCTTTGCATTGTCGTTCAAGAACATCTAGCAATGTCCAAACAATGCAAAGAAATTACAGAATTGGCATGATCGTAATCTGCCTTTA